GAAAGCTTTAAAACCAATGTTTGGACTTATTTTATAGAAATGAAACTCATCTAAGTTATGTTATTCCACTTGATAACATGTTTTCATTCACAAATGATCAAAAATCATAATTTTTAATGCATTTGTGATATATAATTAATGTTTCATAAATATTGCACTATTGTAATACAATAGCCTTATATAAATACTTTATATCGTAAATATTGTACTATTGAAATACAAGAGTTTTACGTAAATATTTTATATGATAGTGTGAGAATATATGGAACCCCATTACACTATTCTCCGAAAGAGCTCTCGAATAGAGAAGGGAGGTTCCAACGTATATTGATGAGAAACGATCCAAGTCTAACCAATGTGGGACTCTAACACGCCCCCTCCAAAAAAGGTTAGGCGAGAACAAATTGTCGTAGAGTGTTGAGTCTTGTAGACCTTGAATTTTATATCATATGAGAATATATGAAATATTGTTAGATTTCTTTCCAAAATAACCATTATTTAACCACCTGGTATGTGTAGTAAGATGATGTTTTTATAAGCTTAGTCACATCAGCCTTTGTGTAACTAAATATGGAGATTCTCCAAAGTAGGATCTACCTCTTTAAGAGCAGGCTCTTTTGTGGACAAATCTCCAAAGTTAGTTACCTAGTAGGCTAATGAGAGCAAGATTACAACAACATCAACAGACCACACAGACTAGAAGGTCAAAGAAGGACTTTAGGGGAGCAATTTAATATGGTTCTACATATTAACAACTGGTATCAAAGCCAAGGTCTACCACTTTATTGACTCAACAATCTTCAACAATATGTTTCCATATAGCGTCCAACAAAGGGTGTGTGTTAGAGTCCCATATAAGCTAGGCGAGAACAATTTTTTAAAAAAGAGTGTCGAGTTCCTAAAGTGGTAAACATTAGCTCTGATACTATTTTAGAACAATTAAAACCATTTCTCTTCTCAAGGGATGTAATATGTGAAACCCTTCCTCTTCTAGAAGAGAGAAGGGAGGTTCAATATATATTGAGGATAAATGATCCAAGTCTAAGAAATGTGGGACTCTAACACACACACCCTTCAATCGAGGCTAGACGAGAACAGACTGTTGCAGAGTATCAAGTCACTAAAATGGTAGAACTAAACTTTGATATCATTTGAGAATTCATGGAACCCTATCATATTACTTTCACAAAAGAACCATTCTTTGGCCACGTGGTCTTTGTTGTATGATGAAGTTGTTACAAGCTTCCTCTCATCAGCCTGCTGTGTAAGTGAATATGAAGATTTGTCCAAAGTAGGATATGTCTCTTCAAGAGCAAACCCTTTTATGGACAAATCTATAAAATCAGTTACCCAATAGGCTAATAAGAGCAAGCTTACAACAACATCATAACAATACCGACCCGATGGTCAAAGACAGACTTTTGGAGATTAATTTAACAGGGTTCTACATATTCTCACATAGTACCAAAGTCAATGCCTACCACTTTTAAGGACTCGACATTTTGCAACAATATGTTCCCATATAGCCTCTGTTGAAGGGGTGCGTTAGAGCCCTAGATAAGCTAGGCAAGAACAAATTTTAAAAAGAATGTCGAGTCCCTAAAGTGGTAGACATTAGCTTTGATATTATGTTATAATAAGTAAAACCCTTTCTCTTCTCAAGGATTTCAATATGTGAAACCCTTTATCCCGTCAAAGAGAGAAGAGAGGTTCTAAGATATATTGAGGATAAATGATCCAAGTCTAAGCAATGTGAGACTCTAACACACACCCTCCAATAGAGGCTAAAAGAGAACAGATTCTCGCAGATTGTAGAGTCCCTAAAATGCTAAACCTTAACTTTGATATCATGTGAGAATATATGCAACCCTATTACATTACTTTCCAAAAGAACCGTTGTCTGACCACTTAGTCTATTTGTATGACGATGTTGTAATAAGCTTGTTCTCATCAGCTTGTTTGTTGGTACCAGTCGGATTTACAAGAGTTTAAAGGTAACAGTTTGTATAAGGGAAGGATGAATACAAACACACATCAGTTTTCACTTTTTTAAATTTTTTTATTGATAAAGAAGATTAATACATAATTTACATATTGTTTGCAGAATAAGATAAGATACAGAGCTTACCTAAAACAATCAAGGAAACACACAAGATATAGAAAGCAAGAAAGAAAAGACTTGCTAAAAGAAAAGGTTAAGAAGTCTTGTGCTTGAGGAAGTCTTTCTCTTTGGTAGAAAGTTGATCTTTGAGAAGTAGAATTCTTCCCATCAGTTTGCTTCCTCGCTTTACTCTACTTACTGAGAAGAAAGAGTTTCTCAACTATTTATACTCATTACATTAAATGCAAGTCAGACGGTACAAAGTACGTGGCAAGCTTCTAGAGGTGAGCTTGTCATTTGTTCTCAAATATACAGGCTTTTGCCGTATATGAACATAGTATTTCATAAAGTAGGTAAGCGTGCTTGGAGACAATAGAGTGACTTCATACGGGTACTTTATTTTGAAAGGTATGGGTTAGTCCTTTGTGTGTAGGAGGATAAAACAAAAACTAATCTTGGTCAACAAGATTCATTTGATCACTGACACTGAACTAACACTAGGGTTTCTTCACTGTATGCTGAATCTTGAGTAGATTTTACACATGTGTAGACATGCTTGTTATCATTGAAACTGCATCAGATCACGAACTGCTTGTCTTTGTCTTCAGTTTTATCTTCGATATCACTGAAGGTTATGTGGTGTGAGTTTTGTCTTCCTGAAGAATGCTTGTCTCTATGAGAATTACAATACTTGTTCAGCGATCACTGAACAAACTCAGTGATGATCGCTGAAGCTGAATAAAGAGAACGTATTTTTCATAAGATAAAAAGGATCATCATTAAATCACTGAGAGAGAGAGGATCACAACACTGTTGTGTAACTGAATATGGAGATCCGTCAAAAGTAGGATCCACCTCTTCAAGAGCAAGTCTTTTATGCACAAATCTCTAAAAATCATTTACCCAATAGGCTAATGAGAGCAAGCTTACAACATCATCATTAGACTACACAGTTTAGATGGTCAAAGAAGGACTTTTGGATAGTAATTTATGGTTTTACATATTCGCACATGGTATTAGGGCCAAAGTCCACTACTTTAATGACTCAACACTCTTCAACAATATGTTCTCATATAGCCTCCGTTTGAGGGAGTATGTTAGAGTCCCGTATCAACTAGGCGAGAACATATTTTAAAAAATAGTGTCGATTCCCTAAAGTGGTAAACATTAGCTCTGATATTTTGTTAGAATAAGTAAAACACTAAAAACCTTTCTCTTCTCAAGGGGTCTAATATGTAAAACCCTTTCTCTTCTGGAAAGAGAAGGGAGGTTCCAACATATATTGAGCAAAAATGATCCAAGCCTAATCAATGTGCGACTCTAACATACCCCCTCCAATAGAGGCTAGACGAGAACAGATTGTTGTAGAGTATGGAGTCCCTTAAGTGGTAGAATTTGACTTTGATATCATGTGAGAATATATGAGACTCTATTAGATTACTTTTCAAAACAATCATTCTTTGACCACCTGGTCTTTGTGGTATGATAAAGTTGTTATAAGCTTGCTCTCATCAGCCTATTGTATAACTGAATCTTGATATATGCCCAAAGTAAGATCTATTTCTTCAAGAATAGGCCTTTTACGGACAAATCTCTAAAATCAATTACCTAACAAGCTAACAAGAGCAATCTTACGACAACATCATTGTACCACATAGAACACATGTTCAAAGAAGGTCTATTTTGGAGAATATTTAATTGGGTTCTACATATTCTCACATGGTATTAGAATAAGGTTTACCACTTCAGGGGCTCAAAACTCTGCAACACTATGTTCCCATATAGCTTCTACTGGAAGGGGCATAGTTCCACATTAGCTAGGTAGGAATAAATTTTAAAATAGTGTCAAAACCCTGAAATGGTAATAATTAGCTCTGATACTATGTAAAAATAAGTAAAACCGGATCTCTAGTCAAATAAAGAAGGGAGGTTCCAACATATATTGAGGAGCAATGATCCAAGTCTAACCAATGTGAGACTTTAAGACATCCCCTACAACAGAGTCTAGACGAGAACAAATTGTCGGAATGTGTTGAGTCCCTAAAGTACTAGACCTTAACTATGATAATATGCGAGAATATATGGAATATGATTAGATTACTTTACAAAAGAACCATTCTTTGATCACCTCGTCTGTATGGTATGATGATGATGTAAGCTTGCTCTCATCAGCCATATTGTGTAAGTGACTATGAGATATATCGAAAGTAGGATCAACCTCTTCAGGAGAAGGCCTTTTATGGACAGATCTCCAAAATTAGTTACCCAACAGGTTGGTGAGAGCAAGCTTACAAGAGCATCACCAGACTACACCGACTAGTTGGTCAATGAAGGATTATTTTGAAGCGTAATTTAATAGGATTCTACATGTTTCATATGGTATCAGAGCCAATACCTACCACTTTAAGGACTCGACACTTTGCGACAACATGTTCCATCTAGCATCCATTGAGGGGGAGGGATACATTACAATCCCCCATCAACTAGGCAGAAACATAATTTAAAAAAGAGCATCGAGTCCCTAAAATAGTAGACATTAGCTCTAATACTATGTTAGAATATGTAAAAACCCTTTATTTTCTCAAGGACTTTTGAAGAACAATACGGGACATTCAAATATTTTCACATGATATTAAAGTCAAAATCTACCATTCTGAGGCAATGCTAGCCCCACCCCACCCTTTCCTTACCCTTTCCTTTTGACACTCAATACATGTGTAGCCTGTATTTAAGGTGATTTGATAAAGTTCTAAATGAGATAGATTTGATTATTGCACTTCCATATGTATGTTGGAACCTACCAAAAAAATCGATCTATATTTAGCTTTATTTGATCCGGGCCGAAATTACATTGGATTTAAGATTTTGTTGAAGGGAGGAGGAAAATCTTCAAGAAATGAAGTTAGAGCAATAATGGTGGATACGATAAGTTGATCGTGGCAATCTATTTTTCACAACAAAAACGAGTAATTTTAACATCCAAATAGAATTACCCCCATCACATAAACAAAAATCATCAACCAAATCTTGTCGAGAAACCCAAAATCTATCTTTTTGCCGCCGCATCTCTCTTTATCTATACCCTTTTTTCTCGCACACGAGCCCACTAAATCATCAGCGCCACAACGGCAACCGGGACAATGAGATGGGACGAATTGGAAGGCGATTTTATGCATCACAACGAAGAGCAAGAAACCCAACAACAAGAACAACACGACTCTTCGTATCTCAATTTTGATTCCTTATCTCTCATTTCTAAGCCCAAGGTAGCAGTTTCTTATCCTTTCCGCAATTTTCGCCCCTTGGGGATGTTTGTGTTGATGAAAAATTGACTTGATTCTATCCGTTCTTTTTGATTTTGTTAGTCTCGTAGCTAATTTCATTTATTTGAAAATCTTTCAGGATTATTATCGAATACTTGAGGTGGATTATGAAGCTACGGAAGAAGAAATTCGTTCAAACTATATTCGATTAGCTCTGGTTCGTCTTCTAATCCCCTTTTTACACTTTGATCCTGGAGATCAAACAGACAGATACAAGAGTTTGATATCGATGTTGATTTGAGAATAATTTGATAATTTCTTGAAAATTTAAATCCGGCACAATTGATTGGTGACGCATATTAATTTCTGATTTTGTGTCTGATTCTTCTAGGAATTGAAATAGATATGTGTAAGCATCCTGTTTTAATCCAAAGAAAAAAAACCCTAATCTTTCAGTAAGTTTCTGATAGGTTATGGATTTATTTCTGCTATATCAAAAGCTAGTTTCTGTTCTTGATATTTAGTTGTTGTTTAAATTCTTGAGTTGGGTGTTCTTTCCATGTTTTTGGTTGTGTATTTGTGATCCTAATTTTAGGGGCCTCTGATCCTGCACAGAAATGGCATCCAGACAAGCAAAAAGGCGAAGATGGCGCCACATCGAAGTTTCAAGAGATAAACGAGGCATACCAAGGTTGGCATTTTTACAAAATTCTTTTCTTGTTTTTCATGTTCAATGAAATGCTTGCATATGTTTTGAAGAATGAGCCAAGGAGTAGTGTTGTTATTTTGATGATTACTTGAGATAGGGCACATGTCATAGACCTGTTATTGAAGAACCGAATACGATTCTATATTTCTATTTATACCCACAATGCAGTCCGCAGAGGTCAAATCCTTTTGGATCAATATATAACAGATTCCGTTTTATTGCATAAAGTTGAGGTGATTCCGAAGGTGTATCATGCAAGAGTAGTAATGCATTGAGAGAGCTACAATTCATAAAGCAAACAAAACCAAACAAACCCAGTGAGGCCCACGCGGAGTAGGGTCGGAGGAGCGTAAGATGTATGTAGACGGCATACCTTACGTCTACCCCATAAGTTGTACGTAAAGACCCCTGGCATGGAAAAAAAGCATGATTCCGTGAGAAACATTTGGATCCAACAGCTTGAAGTAGATGAAAGAGATAAAACATGAATGGAAGAATAGCAGGTAAGGGTAATCGAATAACTAGAAAGGTACTGCAGCACGAACGAACATTAAAAGCATATGTGAAGGCACTAGACCACTAGACTAACTAAAGAGGTACAATTCATAAAGTTCAAAAAACCATTCGGTATTGTAGGTTTTGGCACTAGCAACTCAATCCCCATGATGGCAGTATGACCCTATTTATGTATCATTGTTCCTTTTATCCTTCCAAATATGCATCATTCGGTGAATCTTTTGTTATGTGTCAACAATAATGTAGTTTTACTAATAAAATATCACAAGTTATGTGCGTAGCGGAAAATTCACCAATTGTTGATACCATGAGTAAGAGAATATTACTTTCTAAGCTACAAAATGCCAATCTTGTACGTATTTGCATATATAAAAAAAGGGTGCTTAGTTCTTCAGACTAGACCGAGGACAAGGGAGGAGTAATATTTGGTCTTCATATAAAAAATAAATAGATGAAAATTCATAAATTATAATTTTATAGTTCATCCAAGAAGAATTCAGCAGTAAAACTCATATCTTGCATCTATATAGAGAGAGAAAAGAGATAAGGTTACACAATCAACTCTTTTTTGGATGGTTTAGCCTGATAAGGGTGCCTCAAGGAGAAGTAGAGGCTTGATAGATTAAGCTTAAGTTGATGTTTTATATACATTACAGAAACAGCCACTCTGCTCGTTTAGGTCTCTGCACATCCCACCCCCACCCCAACTGAGGTGGGATATATTGGGCTTGTTGGGTTTGGCTTGGTTTGGTTTGGTTTGGTTTGGTTTATATAAATTATGAACTATAGGATGACTTCTTTCGTATCTGGTATGATTTTAGGATATGGATATATTAGCACATATATAAGTGCTTCTTAATTCTGTTTTTATTTTGATTATTTTAGAACCATTGAATCCGATAACCACTCTCTTTTATCCCTGCAACGTAGACTTGTAGATGTTCATATGGGTTTGTAGACTTGGTTCATTCTTTGTGTGTGGTTTTATTAGAATTTATCTTGGATAATTATGTACAAGGAGTTTATTGTGGATCAATTGATCCTCTAGTGTTAGGAGATGAGAGAGATATTAGTTTATACTTTCGCGATTCAACACTTTGATGCCACAGATGAGGGAGGACTGCCTAAGACCAACCATAAGCTAGCTTATTGAAAAAGCCCCATTTGGGTCATCATAAATCAGATTTTTGAAAAGCTACTTTAAGTAACGTTTCAATAAGCTCCATGTGCTATTTCCCCCCTTTTCAACAACCCCATTTGGTTGAGAGCTAGTTCTTAGTAACATATCTCCAATGGGTGTGTGTTGTTGCTTTTTCTCCCCACATTCTAACAATCCCTTCCTATCAAAAATTAAGATAGAGCCTAAAAGGTCTATAGTCTGCAAATAAATGGATATTTTCACATGGAACATATTGCAGAATGTAAGATGAAAAATTAAAATTTGTTTGATAAGATTTTCTCGTTCATCGAAATATAAGATGGAAAAAAGGCTAGAAATTGTTTTTATTAGGATTGAAACCTTAACCTCATTCAGTCAAATAGTCGACACATATTTTTGTTTACAATTTATAAGTGGCATTTGGAGAGCTTTTTTAAACCAATTCTGGTGATCTGAAAGCATACGCGGTTTACCAAACATCATTTCTATACGGTTTACACTCTTTTTAAAATGTCAATGGGAAAATAGAAACAAAATGAACCGAGGCCTTAGACGTTATATTATTTCTACTATCTTCTATGCGAAAAGAACCGATAAATGACCAGGCTTCTCGGAACTTTTGGCATAACTTTTTTTTTATGGTTTTTTTGCAGTTCTAAGTGATCCTATCCGGAAACAAGAGTACGACAAGAAAGGAATGCTATATCTTTATGATTACAACATCGTTGTAAGTATGATCGTTCATTTATTCATACTTTGAATCCATGAATGGGTGTTTCATGAACTAACACCGTACGTGTGGGGAATGCAGGATTACCTCAACCGTTACAAGGGACTTATCTTAACGTGCAACGGGCTTGGGATGAAGACCTCGATATTGTGAAAGATAAAGAGTTTAATGGTACATATGGTTGGATGTTATCTTTAGAAGTGATGAAGTTGCAGTTTTAGATTTATTACTACTACTACTACTACTGATGACTTACTATGTAAAGCTTTGTATCACTCTTGATTTTATGATGGTTGAAACACCCATTTTCACAGGCTTTCTTCCACAACTGGAATTCACAATTCCAAAGGGCATGAGTGATTCTGATGTTACTACTTTGGATATGTTTGGGAATTTAAATTGATGTTTTGATAATTGTGGAGTTTTGTCTTCAAACATCTTATTATATATTTGGCATGAACCATAAGGTATTCTGCATTTTGACCTTTAAGAAGTTTGTGAATTGATATGGGTATGCTTGGTTGGTGTACAAAATGTTTTTGAAAGTTTTTTTTTTAATTATAACTTTTTTGATTTTTTGTTTGGTTTACATTAGGGGTGTAAATGATACGAGACAACTCGTGATCTACTCGAGATCAATTTAGTCTACACTCTTGGTTCGAACTCGAGTTGACTTGACATATTAACGGGTCGAGTCGAGCCAAGCTATCCAATACTCGATCTAAAAAGATTGTGAGATAATAGATTTTTTTTATATATAATTAGTTTTAATATAATCAGTTTTATAATATAATTTGTAAAATATAATATAATAAATATGTCTTATACTTTTAGATGTTTGAACAAAATTCTGTATTTTGTAACTATAAAAAATAATCAATTATTTTATTAGTAAAATCATAATTGAAAAAATACAAAAAAAAAAAAACGATAAAACTGTTGGTGAAGTTGTCTCACGTTGGAAGAGATGGTAAAGTGAAAAAGTTTTATAAAAAGAGAGGGATGTGAATGCACTGTGTAACTTGTCTTTTTTGAAGATGAAGTGTGAGATGCATCTTGTTGATCCTCTCTCTCAGTGATTTGATGATAATCCCTTTTTCCTTTCGATGTATTTTTGTGTTTCTGTACTTTCGGTTCCAGCGATCAATACA